ATGGAAAATGGGTTGGCATGACCCAGTTACTGACAAATGTATTTAGAGCGACAGAGCATCACCATTGCAAGAGCACGGGCTGATCCTGAAATCGTGAATTCAGAGAGGTCTTCCCAGATCAGGATCCTTTACCGCTCTCTGGCAGAATAGAAAAGGCCTCATTTAACTAAAGATCACTTTTCTTCCGGAGCGCATCCCATACCATTAAAGCTTCCCTGTGAAAAACCTCACAACTTCCAGCCCTCACAAGCATCCCGGTGAGCAGCAATCTATTTTAAATCTAAAAGAAGCAATTTCAGGTGAGGCATGAAATGCTGCAGCGGGAGAGCAAGTTAAAAACCCCTCCCAGCAGAAACAAAGCTCCCCGGGCCCAGCACACCCCAAGAACGATCCCCACAATCACCTGCAGACGGCTGGAGCTAAGGCGGCAACCCACGCCGGCTGCTGGGTCTTCAATTTAGTGCGTCCCCGAAATAGCTGTAGATGGTGATTTGTATAAATTGTACCACTGAAAGCTACGTGTGTAAGGCGATTGTTTTCGGATACGTGCGTTGAAAGATTTGCTTTAAGCACAAGGCAATTCAAGTGTAATTGCAGGAGCAAATCCTGCCCAAATTGCTCTCGGAGCAGCTTCCAGATGTCAGATGGAGCCAGGAGACACAGGCGGGCAGGATGCGGCCGTGGTTACCACTGGCCTGGTGTTCGGGGCTGCGTTTTCCCTCTAGTCGCCAAGCAGGGGAAATCACGCTTTTTCTAAGACATCTCAGCTCCCAAACCCTGTGGGGATGCTGTGGCATTGGCCTCCGTGCAGGTCACCCACATTGTCCCTCTGCCCTGTCCTCTCCTCCCAGCCCCAGCGGTGGTGGCTCCACCAGCCCCAGGGTTGCAAACCAGGCACCAGCACCCGCCCGGGGCAGACTCACCCCAGAGCATGGTGGGGAGGATCAGAAGGATGGAGGGAGTTTGGGGACGCAGGGAAGATCAGAAGGATGGCGGGTGTGTGGGGATGCAGAAGATCAGGAGAAGGATGGAGGGCGTGTGGGGAGGCAGGGAGGATCAGGAGAAGGATGGAGTGAGTGTGGGGATGCAGGGAAGATCAGAAGGATGGCGGGTGTGTGGGGATGCAGAAGATCAGGAGAAGGATGGAGGGCGTGTGGGGAGGCAGGGAGGATCAAGGAGAGGTTTCTTACAGTGCCAACAAGTTATTTTGATTGAGCCAAATGGCCCGTGGAGAAGCTCTGTGTAACAGGGACAGCAGCAATTTGTGTCCTGAGGGGGGCTGGGAGAAGAAATAATGCTGATGCCACAGCACGGAGCAGAGAGAGTTTTCTTCAGGGCTCCCCAAGGATTTCCAGGGGAAGGCACTGCCAGGGGTCTATGGAGCATTTCACATGCTAATCACCATGACCACAGCAGCCGCTGAGGACAGCAGTCCCAAGGCTCTTCTGGCGTGGGGGTCATCTCTCCTGGGGCAGCACTGGCTGCGACTGGGGCTCACCATGGACGAGCAATGGATTGGGGTGAACACCAGTGATTTATGGCTGCTTCATCTGTCAGGGGGGTGGGTGCAGGATGGAGGTGTCTGGCCCAGAAACAAGGAGTAGGTGCAGAGGAGCTGCCATCCATCAAGGGGAATATGGTGAGTTATAGTGGACACCAAACATGTTGGTCCAAAACTCCAGCTGTGCTCACGCACAACTGATGCTCCAGGGTGAACTGGAGTTGCACAAAAAGCTCATGCCTTGCCTACGCTGCTGATGACCTCAGTTAACCTGACCCAGGTTGGTCATGAGGAGGCAGTGAAATACTTGTGGACCTTTATTTCTTACTTCCCTTCCCTAGGGCTTGGCTCCCAGAAGGGCTCCCCAAGTTCTATGTTTACCAGAGGTTGCACAGAGGAACAAGGATGACAGAAATCCCACAGCTGTTCAGAAAACAGTGAAGACCACTACCTAAACACACATCTGGTGGCTTGGGAGATGCCCTAGGACAACTGCCTGGGCTGGCAGATGTGAGCCAGGTCTTCCAAGAGTCTTGCAGAGCAGAGCTGGTGGCCGGAGAGGTCTCTGCACCTACTAAACATTTGTATTCAGGTAGCTGCATCTCACCCCTGATATTTTTACTCAAATTGCATTAGTTCTGCAAAATAAGCCCAGAACACAACAGTTTTTAACTCAAATGTGGTCTAACACTGGGAATTTCTGAGAAGTCCCCTCCTCCACGCAGCATCCCTCCCACCAGAAACAGGACTCAGAGTACAGGTCTCACTAGTAGACGTGTATTTTTCTTGTTAACAGCTTCAAATCTTTCAGCACAGAGCATCTGGGCTTTCCAGTGCTGCTAACCTTCAGCCCAAAGTCCAGACAGGAGTTAAATGGTGTCAAACATGATCAAGAGAATGGAGGAGTGACTGAGCAGAGGTGGAATTGCCCCTGGTGAAGCCATGGTGGGAACAGGACAAATCCTTGTCCCCGAGGGGAACGGAGAGCATCCTTTCCCTAGCCTGTTTCTTAAGCAAATCAAATCCCTAAGACTAACCTCCTATGAGGATTCAGGAGGTATTTTTTGAAAATATGGTCAGGAAAAGAAGAAAAAAGTCATTTTTTCAAGACCTTGCTTGAAGACAGGTGCCCAAGACTGACCCAAATAATACACAAAAATCCACAACCAGTTTTCAATGCCTTAATGAATCCACGTCTCTCCTCCACTACTCACTGAACAGCAAAACGTACCCCCAAGAACAAAAGAAAACATTTTCTGGTGGAAGGCGGCAACAAACAGGTGCCCTCCCAGCTCAGCTCCATACTTGCCATGAGTGGGGCTGTAAAGAATGAAACATGTGGACACCTCTTGTCCAGGAAGCAGCACTAGCAGCCCAGAAGATCAGACCTCATCATGACCACAGCCTGGCTCAACCCTACGGCAGCTCTCCAGACAGGCCACGGCACATGGTGGCCTGGGCACAGGGTCTCACCAGCCTGGCTGGGACGCTGGGGACACCGAGCTCCAGCAAAGCACCAACGTTATTGTGGCAAGTTTCCGTTGTAGGACGATGGACAGATGGCTTGAAAACGTCCTGTCCCTCCCCAGGGCTTGCTGGTGCCACCTGTGTCCTGCTTGGCACTGGCCTGAGGAAGCATGGCAACTTCTTCTCACCACCTCCAACCGCCATTCAGCGCTTTGGGGAGAGGAGCCAGGGAGCAGCCTCCCATCGGCCAAGCCCTCTCCATCGGCCATGGATACATGGATGCTCTCCCTTCCCCTCCACGTGCTATCAAGAAAAAAGAAGATATTCTGCAGTGTTTGTGCTTTTGATCTCCTTAAAAATCCCTTTAGCATCCCCTCTTACAGAGTCTCATACAGCAATGACAACAAAGGCATTCTAGGGAAAACTATTTTATTTTCTTTCTTTCTTTAGAAATGCTTTTTACAGTCTAAGAAATGAGGTTCTTTTTAAAAAAATAATCCTAATCTTGGGAACAGTCCTATCCGCAGTGCCGCGGGTGCTGGGCATCGCAGGCTTATGGACCTCGCTGTTGAGGTGGGAGCGTTGTGAACGTCTTTGACCTGTGCTCCTGGGGTTCAACGGGAGAACAGAAACACTTGGGCATGACTGTGTTTTCTTTCCCACCAGCAGCTGACACCTCTGGGTCTAAATTAAAGCTCTTTCTGCAGCAGTTCGGTCAGGCTCCTTGGCTGAAGCCATCGGCAGAAGGGCGGGAGGCTAGCCGGGGAAGCGGTACCCTTGTAGCCTAGTTCAGCCATTTGGCAACTGAAGGCACAGCCGGACACGGGGTCTGCCCCGGGTGTTGGTACACCGATCCTTTGCAACTCGTAGGGGACTGCAGCCGATGTGGTTGTTGCATAAACAGAGAAAGAAAGGTCTTTAGCACGTGAAAGTGGGGATTTTCCCAAGAGAAAACCACATACCCCCCTCTCATTTAAATGCCATTTTCCGGACAGGCTGCAGTACCTCCAGAGTGCCAGGTGCGGCCCGGGGTCTGCGAGAGTCCCTGGACCTTGTGCCTAGACATCACCTCTCCAAACTAAGACTTGGCTCCTGGACACAAGAGATCTCAAACAGATTCAGTTTTCATGTATATCGGATTACCACCTCTGCCCAAAGCAGCAGCGACGCAGTCGACTTGCCCACGTGGAGTGAAGGAAGCCATCCCCGGCATCTCGGCCACTGGCCCCCCGCAGCACGTCCTCACCCTCAGCAGGACGCTGGGCACACACAGTGGGAGCCTAACGCGGCTTTGGAGGATTATAGGTGGTGCTTAGGGCTGCTGAGGGAGTGGGTAAAACTACTCAGAAAATATTCATAGACAAATCCGTGAAGTTGGAAAATATTTGGAGAGCTATCAGAAATCACAGACGATATTAAGAGCAGTGCCGTTACTTACACCATTCCCAAGCTTCAGCTTCTCGGGGTTGGGTCTTTACAGGAATCGGCACTGGTGTTCAAAATACATAAATCTTTGTTACTGTCTGTACAGTGATACTTCCAGCAGGGCTCAGGCTTTTAGATCCAGATCCTTCCACGGTCCCACCTGCACAGATCCAACGAAATCCCCTTGGCACTTTATCCTTACGGATGCAGAACGTGCTGCTGCCGAGCTGGGTGCCAGCAGGTGCCAGGCTCTCCTCGCAGCAGGGCACAGACGTCAAACGAACGCTCCCTCTCCACATCCGACTCCAAACACTCTCCGCTGTGGAGACCACAGCCGCTGCCTCCCTCATCACGCTGCCAGTTACCATCAATTGCTGGCATGCGCCATTTGTGATTTATCTTGAGATAGAAAGCAATATAAACATTTTCATCCAAGAAGCCCTAACAACAGGAGGGAAAGGTTAAATAAAGGCTTTACCCTCCTTCTCAATATTAAACATCAGAAAAATCTAAGTGAATAGATTCAAAAATCATTGTTAGCCTGGAAATGGGAACCAAAAAACTCAACAGCCATCCAGCCAGGAGTTGGGCGAGCCCCAGTCTGACCTCAGCACCCAGAGAGGTCTCTCGCTTTGTTCTTCCGCTGGTATCTTACATCTGAGGGATCAAATCCCCTCTCTCTGGACCCAAACAGCGCCCAGCGAGGAGTTTTGGCTGTGTAATCGGCCGCTGTGAAAGTCTTGGACCCGCCGCTCCTCTCGTGCTCTCGCACCAGCTCCTGGAAGCGGCCGTAGTTGATCCAGGTGCACCACTCGCCATTGATCTTGAACTGGAAGGAAAAGAAATGTGTTACCAAGCCAGGGAGCAATAAGGAGTACAAAATATCACATTTATGCTAAGACAAGCTGGGTGCATTATTAAATTGGTTACCCAGCTGTTGTCTCATAATTTTCTAGCCACGTTAAGGTCCAGGGTAAAGCCATCCAGAAGCTAATGTAGGATAATTGCTTTAATTAAAAAAAAAAAAAAATTAAAAAGAAGTTCAGGTTGACAAATAGCCAGAACTTACCGTTCTGAGCCACATTTCACCCCCAGATACACGATGGCCACTTCTCTTACAGCTTTAGCCATTTAGTGCTGTCTATCAGCAGATAATCTCCTCAAGGGTTTGACTCTTGGGTGCTTTGCTGGACCCTTTCAAGTACCTGGATCCTACCTCCACCCCACTTGCCCAGGAGGAACACTTCCCTGGTGCATCCCAAAGCCCACTTCCCAGGCATGCCCGCACTTGCCAGGTGTCATTTATACCTGAAAAACCTTGATTTGAGGAACTGAACGAGCCCTGGAGGAAACGTGTAAATTTGAGTGATACCCAGGTACCCTTTGATGAAGGGACCCTTCCAAGGTCAACCAAAGGCCCTGTTTGAAACATGGGACACCAACGCCAGAGCAGCCACAAACTGGTACAGGAGCAACACCAGAGCCATGTGCTGTGGTGGTTGGGATGGATTTGGGTGAATCTTGAAAGGGGCGAGAGGGCTGTGGTGGGAAGCGGGGGAAGATAAAAAGGTTTAATGGCATGAATCCTCTTTCCATGTGAGAATTTTAAGAATTGCTTATTTTGACAAGCTGAGGCTGCATTTGTCTAGCAGACCTGCTCTGCTAATTTAGCAACAGCCTTGACTGAATCCTCAATTGGGATTTATCTGAGCTAAGAGCTTATTATGCACTTCATCCAACAAAAAAAAAAAAAAGAAAAAAAAAAGAGAGGGAAACCGACTGACTCCCTGTTTTTTTCAAAAGCCTGATGGCTATGCATTTAAAATGGCGCTTGACTTTCTGCCCAAGAGCTAAAAGCTTTTTTGGTTGGAAAAACTGCTGACACCTGCAAAACTTTGCAATCAAACATTGCTAATGCTAATCTATTGCTGCCTGCGTAATTACAGCGACTTCTTGCAGGAGTCATCCTCCACACAGAGCAGAGATGTGAGACTGCAGAATCATAACAGCGGGGAACAAGTCTTGCCGTAAATAAACTCGTCCAACGCTCGTTCTTCATGCGCTAAGGCGGAGGCCGTGTTTCACCAAGGGGACACATCCTTCCCAGTGAGCATGGCAAGTAAAGCAAAAGCAGAGGAGACAACGACTCGCCTGTAAAGTGGCAGGTCCCAAACAGGATCCAGGCTCAGGAGACCTGAACTTCCCTCCCAACATGTGTGGAGGTGCCAGGTGACAAGTTCACACCATGCGTAACACTCCCTGCGCCCCCAAATTTGATTCACTAACACTCAGCAAATTCTCACACAAATTAAGGGCAAAAAAACCCCCCAACCCACAGGATCCAGCAAAGCCTTTAACACAGATGGCACCTGGGAGAGTTGTTTAGCACACGAGCTGTCGAGCTTATTCCCACGATGGGTATGGAGCACTCCTAACAGGTCAGATGGGTCCCTAGATAGCCTCGAGGCCAACTAAGAGAAACCTAGCACATACAGAACAAAAAGGGCACTGAGACTTGACCTCAGCTGAACAGGGAATTCGGTTCCTTGAATTCCCGTTTCCTTGAAAACCAGTGGGATGCTCTAATCTTAGGATGGAAGGGGGAGCTCGCAACAAGCTGTTAACCCTTTGGTCAGGAGTGGCTCAGCAAGAGCTCCAAAGCCACAGGGGACACTGGTGCCACCCAGACCAGCTGAAACGAGGGTATGAACTGTAGCCACCGACCCCAACCCTGCCGTAGGTGTCTGCCTCTCCAGAATCTTAAAGTTAGAAACCACATGAAAACAGCCTACTATTACCTGCAGAAGACATTAAGAACTAGTTCTAGACTGTTTCTGGAAGAAACCCCGCTCTGACCATTGCTGTGCCAAGCCAGTCAATGGTGATGCAGCTTCGCTCACAGCCAGTCTAATTGGCAATGAGTGGGTAAAAACCCACCGTCCTACGAATGGGCTGACATCAGTGCTGGTGCTTCCATCATCCACAGCAGTTCAACACCAGTATAACACTGTCATGCCCAGCTGAGGGCAGAAACCGTATCGTACAGAGATGAGAGTCTGACATGAGTTTCTGGGATGCAATGGGATGGTTCCTCTCTTTTTAGAGGCAAACTATTTCCCCCCCTCTCCCCGTATCATGCCGTGGCTGTATCTCATCGCATCAGTTGTTCTTCCATGGAGCTGGTGACCTCCAATGAGGCTAGCGACAAGGAAATAAAACCAAAGACCTCCCAACACTAGTCCCAAAAGGTCCCCGTCACCTGGAGCTGGGCAGCAAACTGTCAGAGGCCACCAGAGGATGCAGGCAGCGGAGCAAGCCAGGACACAGCTGACCCGCAGGCAGCGTGCCCAGACCAGCCAGCTTTTGGGTTGTACTCCTGAGCAAGGTGCCACGCCAAGAGGTGGCTTGGAGTGGCCAGAAGGGACCTCTACCCTCTCCTCCCCTCATCGCAAAGCACTACCTATGCTTTCCTGGGGATAAAACCCTCCAGGCTTGCACAAACCACGTGCGTTGCTCTGTGTCCTGAACTTCGGCTAGGCCACTACAGTGAGATTTTAAGCTATTTAATTTTTACTCCATCTGAACGTGCAGGTCCTGACAACAGAGTTATTAATGCTGGGAGCCAGCTGCTGCAGACTAAGGTGACAATACCATTCCCATCAGATCAACCAAAGGAAGGCTGCCTGGGGGTCATTACAAAAGCAGATTAAATAATACTAAATATTTTTAGTGCTGCAATAGCACAGCTACAAAACATGAAAAAATGGGAGCAATCCTTTAAGTGTGTCATGGAAAGCAATTACTTCTGGTGAGGAATAAAAAGCCCAGACAAACATGGGCTGGGGGAGAACAGCCTCAATTGCCCATAAGATTTACAGATTAGATTTTAGCAATTTTGTGATTATTCCATAGACAACAAAAGATTTAAGACTCAAAATAGTTTCACAACATCCATACAACTGGTGAGCCAATGCTAAATATCAGTGTTATTTCAGACTAATGCGGTCAGGTTTTTTATTGAATTTTTCACTACCTGGTTAAGTCTTTTGAGGTGATAAATACATCGACAAAAGATAAACAGCTGAAACCTTCCTTTTTTTTTTTTTTAAGCTAGCATCATAAAAAAGGTAATAAAGCACCTTTGGCTGGCTCTGAAGCCAGGCTGTGTTGTCTGGAAGGCAAAGGCACCCTCCCCGAGGGCTTTGCTCGAGCAGCGAGATGCCACAGGAGCCAGTGCATGCCATCCCCTCGGAGCTCGTGCTCCCAGTGTGCCCCAGCTCTGGTCCCCACGGTCCCACCACCAATCGCTCCCTACAGACGTGGCATCAGCACACAGAAATGCAAAACCTGCCTGATTTTGGTGGAGAGGGCAAGGAGCACTGCCTCAAGCAGGCATTAATGCTGCGAAAACAAGAGGCAAAGGAAACAAGGGGAAACTCGTAATGGCCTTCAAGCCCAGAAAAGCAGGACTAGGGCGTGATGCTGGGCCACCACGGGGACATCTGTCAAGGGGTCATGCACCAGGAACAGCACGGCTGGACTGGCTGTGCTTCAGGGGAGCCACAGGGCAAATGGATGGAGCTACCTGCCTGGGGTCGTGCTGTCCACGCACATGGCCAGTCCCTCAAACACTCCACAGTGACACTGAGATACACACTGCACAGCCCATCAGGAGCCGGGACTAAAATGAAGAGCCGAGTTACCTGGGAGCATCAACAGAGGACAGCTAACACCTCCCTTTTCTCTTGTAACTCACTGAGTGGATATGAGCAGGAAATTTCTTTAAATTACCTTTTGCAGTAGGTTTCCAGCTGCTCTGAGTGCAGAGAGAGAAGCTTCTTGCTACAGAAACCCATCAACATTCATGAAGGAGGAGAAGAGCCACACCACATATTTCTTATCAACATATTTGCATAAGCAATTTTTTGGGGGGTAAAAATGTATGCGTACATTGAGGACAATATAGTAGTACAATTTACTACATTCCTCCAGACACGCATAATTGCTGAGAAATAAACACAGGGTTTATACGAAGGGATAAAATATAGAAGAGATGCAGAGATGGTGACACATGAAACGCTAACACTGAAAAATGGAAGTCAGCCAAAAATCAATTAGTTTGTCCTAACAAGGATAACGTTATATTTTCTTCAGAGAAAAACACACTGAAACGAGGAGGCTCCTCTTCGCCCATTCACTCTGGTCTTTCTCTACAAAAAAAAACCCCAAAACTAATGTATTTTCAGGAAAAGACTCAAAAAAGCCTGGTGTGGCTCCTCGCAGACCAAGCCCTGGGTTGGAAGGACAGAGTCCGTCCCTGGTGGGGAGAGGACCCATGGGAAACCTTTCTCCGATGAGCTGCGTTGCAACGCAGCATCCCCAAGGAGCAGAGGGAAGGCTGGGAAGAGAAGGCAGAGCTTTGGGCCTTGCAACAGCTACTCTTTAATTACTTGAGGACACAAAGATTTAGTAGTCCAACAAATGGATTCTTCCCCAGGCAGATGCACAGGGTTTAATGGTTAAATACGGCAGTTTTATGTCTAGTTTTAAAGACCACACAAAAAAAAAAAAAAAAAAGGAATGAGCAGTGAGCAGGGAAACCAGCACGTGCTTCGGTTGCGGGGAGGCGCAGAAACTGGTGTAGCATCAGAGAGGAGGGCAGGGAGAGCCCACACTTCTCTGATGGCTTGTCTAGTTCTGATTTCCAGCATTTTAAATCCTGGCTTTGCCAAGTGTTTCAGACGATGCTTATTTTGGTTTACACATAGCATGAGACATTAAAGGAGCATTTTGCAAAAGCAAGTTTCAGCAACTCAGCTTTATAAGGCC